ACATTCTAGCAGACACTATACCAACAAAGCACAATTTAACTTAAAATTAATAAGTTAGTAAAATTATATTTTTTGGCCATCAGAGCCCCTTCTTGAATCAGGCATGTATTATTATTATATATATATATATTTTTTTTACTGTACATTTAAAACTTGCTGAGCAGAAGAGCCTTCTTTTAAAACATTAGAAAATATTACAGATCCCAATTTGAACACTATGTGTGATGTTATAATAAATGTATTAACAGAGCTGTTGTAATTATTATCATCATTATTATTGTCTTACTTTTTATTTTATTTTACAGAACAACAGTAAAATTACAATACTAACATTTATGAATGTTCTTGCTTTTTCTTTTATTTTGGCGGAAACGTGCAGGAAGACATCAATGCTTCTTTTTGTTGATAGAAGATTTATAAATGAGTCTCATTACGAATACGTCGCACGTATCGCATTGTCACGTGACTTGTAAAAAATCATAAAAATGTGACTGAGCAACTGACGAGTAACGCTGGTTCAGCGTTAGCTGGTTGCTATTTGATCGCGTCACGTGAGTATTGTTTGGTACAGTTTATTCGGTCTTTTCACTTATTCGAAAGAGCTTTTTTTGTTATTTTCGGCTGAATAATTTTGGTTACCGAACATTCGGTGCATCCCTATAATAAATAATTTATATATATATATAAATATTCACACAACATTGGCTATTTCTGGATGCTAAAACAAACATAAAAATTATTTACCAAGTAGGTGCTTTTAACCAAAGTGACTTACAAATGGCAATGAAACATAACCAGACAATGAAGCATGTGTTTGATAAGAAACATGAAACATGCTCATGGATATCTGTCTAAAAGAAACCCACATACACTGTAACCATTAAACATGTTGCTGAAGTTAAAAGCTGTGGAAAACGTATAAAATCCGCCTGTAAGCTTGAAGCAGCAACATGCATCAGATTATTTTCACGCATCAGACACCCGATAAACACATTGGGCCTACCTCTAAAAGACTGTACGAGTGGACAATTACGGCATTCTTTGGTCAAACACGCGAGCGTTTTCAAGAGAGACTCAGAGCAAATGCTGGACAGTCCAAAACTCAATCTGAAAACATGAAAATCTCAGCGTCCCGGCATCAGAGCACATCCTTCATTAAACATTCATAGCACAGACTTTGAGCCATTAAATATTCACTGGGGACGACACTGGACACAGGTTAGTCCTGTTCACGGACACAAATCCCTCTCACAACAACGCTACGCTTATCAATATTATCAATAGCCGCACTGCTGCAGGTCTGATGAAGGCTTTCTAAGAACAAGCAAGGAAAAAGTAAGTAATAGTAAATAGAAGGGAACACAATACGTCAATATGGTCTCTTAATGTAAATGTCTTGTATTAGCATCACTTCAAAGCTTGAAAACAACAACTTTCAACAGCGGCAAACAACTTTTCAATGCAGTTTCCAAATTAACAATAGCTTAAGGCTTGAATAGCTTTGCTCCAAACCACCAGAATACAGAAACAACTTTTACAGTATCTTCTAATCACATTGCAAAAAAAAAAAAGTGCTATTCTTCCTTAGTATTTCTTTCTCGTTTTCAAGTACCAATGTGCAAAGATTTAAAATTAAGACACATTGCTGGAGATGCACAATAACAGAAGACAGAATCTTGCTTTATGAAAAATTGATAAAAATTAGGTTTCTCCAAACAACATGTCAAAATGCATGATTCTGATTATTTATCAATGGTTTTATGAAATGCAGCAAGATGAATTAAACATCATGCATGTGTATACATCTGAAATAAATAGGTTTAAAGAAGAAATGAGCTGATCTAGAGTTTAAAACGGTTGTTCTTGGGCTGAAAAGCTTTTAAAATGTATCTGAAATACAATAAAAAGTCAGTTTACTTGTGAAATAAACCGAATAAGACGGTCTTCTTTGTGAAATAAACAGCAGATTGATCAAAATGAAGTGAGTTTATGATTAAAACATGAACAAATCTACTGATGGGCTCAGAAATTTTTTTTTATACCCAATTGTCAATGTCAATACTTAATGTCATGACTTTATGAATTTAAGACCTTCTGCTGTGATTTATGAATTGTGGTATTTTAAAAATTCATATCATAACAAAAATAAACACCGGTATTCGGTATGAACCGGTGTACCGCCCAGCACTAAGATATCACAATATACAGATTTATAATCAGATTAAAACATCAAACTGACGCAAAGCAGGAAGCACGCAAAAAGAAATCAGCATGTTTAGTGAGTAAATAAAATGTGAGCATTAGATCTTAAGAGCGTTCCATTAAGAGATATCGTTCAACGGCTGCTTAATGACTTTCTAAATCAAATCAAACAACAAACTTCCCGTGCAGTAAATTGCTTTCTTGAAAACATCAGCAGCAGCGCACATTACTTCAGGCTACAGCGTGGCCATAATCTAATTCCCGTCTGAATGTGGCACATGATAAGCTGAGTGCATACAGGACAGCAGACGTCATCACAGCGCAGAACATACAAGATTACATACAGACATGTTGTGTGGGTTTTCTAGCTGATGTAACGGGCTAATGGTCCATCGCATGTGAAAAGAGAGAAACGATGATCATCTGATCTGCTAATGATCTGTTTTCACCACAACACCACAGAGACCCTCGAGATGATGCTGATGGCTTCCAGTAAATGGAAACGACTGCGAAACAAGAGGAAAAACACTTTACAGAGTGAGTGCGGGAATATTTTACTCTTATAATAATAGAAACAAATAGTCTTATAGGACAAAAATAAACATGTCAAAATGCAGCAAGACAAATGAAACATCATGCATGTGTATACATCTGAAATAAATAGGTTTAAAGACGAAATGAGCTGGTCTAGAGTTTAAAACGGTTGTTCTTGGGCTGAAAAGCTTTTAAAATGTATCTGAAATACAATAAAAAGTCAGTTTACGTGTGAAATAAACAGAATAAGATGGTCTTCTTTGTGAAATAAACTGCAGATTGATCAAAATGAAGCGAGTTTATGATTAAAACGTGAACAAATCTGCTGATGGGCTCAGAAAAATTAATTTAATTCAAAGTAAATACAATGCTGATGGCTTCCAGCAAATGGAAATGACTGACTCAAGATGAAAAACACTTTACAGAGTGAGTGCGTGTGCTGATACAGTAATATTTTACTCTCATAATAACATAAACAAACAGTCTTATAGGACAAAAGCACCGTTTTCTCTAAATAACATGTCAAAATGCATGACTCTGATTATTTATCAATGGTTTATTCCTGGGCTGAAAAGCTTTGAAAATGTATATCTGAAATACAATAACTAAAAAGTGAGTTTACTCGCGGAATAAACCGAATATGATGGTCTTCACAGCAGATTGAGAGTGAAAATCTCTGGTCATGAGCTCATATGAACGGATCAGTCAGTGTTTACACTGTATTATCACACACACATTCAGTAATACAACGCGTTTACAGAGGAATCCCAGTCTGACTGACTTTAAGAAGCCGAAAGTGTCGTGTAAGCTGCTTTATAGACTGGAATGAGCTTGAGTGTTCATAAATGAAGCCTCTGATGAGGCCCGCGGCTAACACATGCTAATGCTAGCGGCGCAATAAAACACCGAAGAACCGTTGAAATAAAACACCAAAAGATCCGATAAAAGCGTCAAACCCGTCAAAATAAAAGTCGACAATGAAATTGAAACAAACCCCATCTGTGTGGTGAAATAACGGCGTGTAAAGAAATAAACCACCCTCAGCTTTACCTGAAACACTGCTGACTGGAGGACCGAGCGACTCCACACGGGCTTTATGTGAATCCCGGGACGCGGAGAATCACGAAGATCGGTGTGAAATC